GGGTCTATGTAGATCATTAGCCAGTCAGTGGAGTTGGATTAAGTCCATTCTAGGATGTGCTCATAAGCTAAAAGATAGAGAAGAAAGATGGTCAGTGCTAGCTGAGGTTTAGGATGAGAATTCCTCCTTTAGCAACTGCTTAACATTTTAAATCTCTCTTCAGTTTTTGATTCAGTGAATCATGCCTTTCAGAGGCATCTAGTAATTCCCCAGGGTCTTGGCACTTAGTCCAGATCAGCCAGCACAGAGGAATCCTTACATTCTTAGCATCCTTAACCTTAGCTATTGGGTTACACAATGTTTGATTAGGATATTAGCTACCATTCAGTTCAGACACTGTCGTTGCCAACTGATGCTGAAATTAGTTTCTGTGTGTAAATTCGATATTACAGTCATGTTCTTCGGTAAGTTTCCAAAGACAGAGGTTGTTTTAGATACTACATATAAAATAATGCTTTCAACAGTAAAAGTGGTTTTAGGTAGCTATTTTAAACAGTGAATCATTAGCAGATCTGTCAATATATTGTCTCTGAAATATTCATTTATCTGAATAACACTTTTAATTTAAGATTTTATATATGCTTATATATGAGTGAGAGATTTCTAGGAAGAAAAAGTACAGAGAAATCTTTCAAGAGAGTACAATTTGAGATCCATTTATTTCCCAGATCTTCTTTTTATATATAAAAATTATAGGTTGTATGGAGCTGCTGAAGATCTGCTGTTTTCAAATGTACAATGCACACTGTATTATAAATCCATTGCTAAAAAAGGTGTAAAAGTTTTGTGAATGCCAGATCTAGAATTCACTTCAGAGCAATGTTTGAAATATTCCATTTTGGAAGTTTGTTTAAACTCAGATAACTACACTCTGTACTAGAGCACTGGGGCATCCTTGTCTAATGGCTTATTACCAACCTCCTAGGGACTCACTGTCATGAAAGGCAGTATATAAGCTTAGAGGGATTTTTTTTTCTTGCCCCATGTGTAATTTAGATGTCATTTGCAGTTACTGTGTACTGCTAGTTTACTTCAAAAGAATGCTGATCGAGGCCTGAGGAAAAGATAGAGCTATATGCTAAGAAGAAGCAAAAGAATAAAGTACTGCTTTGCTGTTCTACTGAGATACATCTGTGCTGGCTGCCAAATGCTCATTCCTAGTTTGAATTCAAAATTGATCCTTTTAGCGTGTACAGATAAGAACAAAGTCAGATCATATTTGTTTAAATACTTGGTACTTTTTAATAAAATAATTAATAAAAGGTTTCACTGTACTTTAACCTTTTTCAAGAGTCAGAAAAATACAAACCTGTTCATTCAACTGGGAAGAGTGGAGCTTGCACAGCCATGCTTGCTTTTTGAGAATTCAGACCAGAATACAACTGTCTTCAAATATCTTCTGAGAATAACTGTAAAAAGAAAAGGGTGTTTCACAGTCCTCCACAGCTGACAAACAATTTTGTTAGCTATGGTGCTTAGCTGTTTAAAGCCTGTCACAGGTGCTTTCAAAAAAGCCCATGGCTAAGGTTTTCAGAGGTATCCAAAAACTTTGGATTGCTCAGTATTTGGGTGGTTTACGTAAGCCCTTTAAGAAGACCTGAATATCAAAAGTGTCCTCAACAACTTCTGAAAAATTGACTGATTCACATTGGGCACCAAATTACCAGAAGCATCATTTGAATGCTTATCTCCTCTAGTAAGTCTACTGAAGGGCTTTTTTTATTCCTCTACATTGTTGTAGAAGTGGGACTATTCTTGAAAAAAAAATGCATTCCCTGTTGTTGGATATTGAATAGTTCTGTCACCAATACCAAGGACAGTCACAGTGCTTTTGACCGTGCTGGTCAAGGCTGCTGGAGCACCCAGACTGATGGTCATGTGTTGTATTGGTCCTAATGAAGTTACGTAGCTTCCAAGAAGTGCAGGCATCATTCTCATGTCATACATTCGCCTTTCGTTTTACAGAGAAAATAACCTAAAGCTCTGGAGATTATACTTCCTCAGCTGATTGGCAAAGATATGTTTAGAATGATGTTCATATGTTGCCTAATACTGATGTTTGAAAAAAGATTAATTTCTTCTGCAAATTCCTCTTCTTAACTAACTCGAAAAACCAGACCCACTGACAGTCCAGAGAGCTTGTTGTTGTTTTTAAGAAAAAGACATAATAACTATAAAAACCCAACATAATATAAGCCGTGTTCCCCAACAACATTCCCATAGTTTAAAAGTTAAACCCTAGATCTGTGTAAAACAAAAATGAATGAGGCAAAATGTTCATTGACTTAAATTACAGTAATATAACTTATTGTTCGATTAATTTTTGGTGTTATTTTCCTTTGAGTTATTTAGTTACATACTATTTGTGCCTTATAGCAGATAACTACACTTAGGGAGTTCCAAAGTCCTGATCAGTTTTCCCTCCTTTTGTGAGATCTACCAATTGTTCAGTTTTTGCAGTTAGGTCATTTATTTTATTCAAGTGTGTAGTGCCTAGGTGTAAATTGTATGTACCTTCAAAGGAACTTCCATGGTGGAAGGTCCTACAAAACCTCCTCTGGACAATTTTCTGTAAATCATTCCAGCCTAGTTGCGTAAGTATGGCTTTAGAGATCAAATTTCAGGCACGTTGGCTTGAAAAGAATAGCCTAAGAGTAAAAATATTTACATTTCCGTATCAATATGTACTATTGGAATCAGCTATTGATAATTTTTCTGCTCTTTAAAAAACAAAACAAAACAAAACAAAACTACATAAAAAAATTTATAATATTTTCTTAATGGAAAAATTGTCCAGATATTTACTCAGAATTTACTATATGTTATTTATTTCAGATGATAGAAAAACACATTGATTCTTTTAACATAAATTATGGCTCTAAAATACATTAAAGTATATTGTCCTGATAAATGATGACTTATATGAAAAAAGGAAAGAAAGAACTTGAGGGCTTTATTTAGATCCAGTCTGTTATTGTAAATGATGCTGTCTATTTATTTATTTTTTTATAACCTCCAGCAATAGAAGATTCTTGTGATAAATGATTCATATCGCTGCAATATACACCTTTTAAAATTTCCATATCTGGCAACTAATAGGCACTTCTTGAAGGCTTCAATAGGCTCCTTAGCCAGATAACGTGGCTGAAAGCTGCCTCATGATTAATTTCATCTAAATGTGGTAATTACCATACTTTGAAGTAATGCCTGCAAAACATGCTTTCACAGAGAGTTAGTGGAAGCAGAGGATTAACCTAGAAACATTTCAGTTCAGAGCAGCATATCAGCCAAATAGAAACGCATTTTCCTCTGAATTTTTCAAGACTTTTTATTAAGTTACTTGGCAGTCATTTACATTACTTTATCTCATATCAACTTCTTCACAGCAATTTAGAGAGCAACAGAAACTGAAGCAACCTCCTATTATTATCAGTAATGGGATAGTCTTGGTCATCCAAGCTACTTATTTTGGCAGCTTTTGCCCTGAAGTATTCCTTGTATTAGTATTTAAGAGCACAATTAATTTATCATTCATATGTGTTGTGGACATAAGCATTACCCTGCCTATATTCTGGGCACACTAGAGATGATTAGAGAGGATGTTAATTTCCTTATTGGCACCCAGGGAAGTAACTTCTGCCATTGCTCTATGCATCTCTTTGCTTCCTGCCTCACAGGACCACCATGAACCATGTCTTAGCTGTACAGGTGAGACTAGTGAAAAAGGTATGTAAGGCCCCAAGTATGGTTGTAAAAATGGCTGATTTTTGTACCCAGCTAAAAGCCCTGAAGTAGAGTAGCACCAAGAATTATAATGGAGAGAGAAGATATCACTAGGTATTTCTGCCCACTTACATCTGCTTAGCAAAGATTCCAAATTTTTCATCCATCAGAAAATATCCTACAAAAAAGTGGCACAAAAATGCCACCTTAACTGAAGATGAGACTAAACATCTTAGTTAAGTCTCTCTGGTAGGCTGCCTGGCCATGCTATATTTTCACATAGCCGAGTTATTTTAACTTTATTTAAAGCAATGACGGACAGATTTTGCCTAGTCTTACATAGTCCATACGTAGGATTGACGGAGTTTCTTCAGGTTCATAAGCTATTCTACGTTGGCTCAGTTTTGGTAAGAGTCACATGTGTGCTCCTTTTCACAAACATGAAAGAAATGCATTAGCTTGAACTTTAATTGAACACTGGGAAAAGTTTGGAGAAGCAAGGATCTTTCCTCCAGGCTGGACTGGAGGGATGGCTTGGATTCTCTCTCTCTTCTCTTTAGCTCTAAATCTTCCATTTGTTTTGGCATGTAGGAAATACGTGGCAGCTGGAGTTTTGGCTAGGCATTATGTGGAGCTTTCCAAACTAGGCCTTAATTGTATGGCTGTGAATAACTGTAGGAAAATAATACCTTTCATTGCATGTCTCTATGCTTAGGATCCTAGTGCATCTTCCCTTGCATTTCTGCAACCTGACAATGTGCAAATGGTGAGCAACTATGGCTCAGCTAGTACATGTAAGCCATGGTAACTCAACCACATCTCGAATCTAATAGATTACTGAAATTAAACAAAAATGTTCACGTTCACACAGGTTGTGTTGCATTTACACCTAAGGTTAAATTAGTGCAACTGTACTATGAAACAAACAGAAGTGAACTAATTGGGCATTGGAACAGGCTCTCCAGGGAGTTGGTGGACTCACCATCCCTGGAGGTCTTCAAAAAACTTTTAGATGTGGTGCTTCAAGGCATGGTTTAGTGGGTTTAGCGGGCATGGTGGCATCAGGTGTACGGTTGGACTTGATGATCTTTGAGGTCTCTTCCAATCATAATGATTCTATGATTCTATGATTCTATGATTCTATAATTCACTGCATCATTCAAATGCACTTTGCAGCAAATAAGCTGTTCCACCTCTAAAGCACACACTGCAGTTTCCTATCTACCTATATCCTTCCTAACTAAATTTTTATGCATATGTGTTTTTTTATCTTACAGATAAGAAAGAAGCTGCTGTGTCCAAAGAACTCAAAAGTAAGAAACTACTGTGCCATAGGTTATGATCTCTTTTGTATGTCATGTATTTTTGAACAGCACGTTTCAATAATCTAAAATAATAGTTATTGAATTGTTGAAAATACAGAGAAGAAAGTAGCTACACCATTTATAATTGAAAAATGACATGTTTAGACTTCAGCTGCCTCCTACTTTCTAAATCCATTCTTATCCCGCTTCTAATTCCACACTTCTCTTTCTGACTGACAGTTTTGCCTTCCCCTTTTTTCTATCACTGTCTCCAAAAACAAAGGTTTCATGGGGAAGGAAATGTCAAATGAGGTCTCAGCTGAATGTGCTCTCAGTGGCAGCAATTTTGGTAAATGGGCTGAGAAGACTGAGAGTCCAACATGCTGAGGACCACCAAATTTATCTTCACAAATGCAAAACAAGGGCCTTGCCTATCTAGTTACTTCAGATTCAGACAGAGAGACTTCTGAGGCAGAAGAGAGGTAAGGGCTGGGCTCTTCTGGATAAATAACCAAAAAATGCTCTGAGAACATGGTATTGTTAACAAGAGAGCTCTTACACCTTCCTTTTCTACAAATTTGCAAGCATCAAAGCCTCAACACAGTAAGGATAGTAAGACAGTTTCACTGATAAGACTTCATCCACTCAGATCCCTGTTCTGAAAGTACAGTATATAAGAACAATTAGGAAAACTATGGGGCTTTGAAATCTCATTCAAATCATGATTAAAGAACGCATTGACTCCCATCTCCATATATGATCTTTCCCAATCTGTATGGCAGAATAATGCCGTCATCCTCAGTTTTGCAGGAATTTATTAAAAGATTTCTTTTGGCAATCAAGAAAAGCTGGTACATTGGTTTCCCACTCAAATTTTGCAGAAACATTGAACAAAACAATCAATGGACTTACTCTACAAGTAATGTCCTGTTAGTGAAATAACTGCCTGTTTGCAAGCAGGTCTTAAAGTATCCATTGATTTGGGCACATGATTCCTCTCATGGGAGAACTCCCCAGCAGCTGTCACAGCAAAACTTCCCAGGTCCATCTCATGAGTGAAATTTGCAGGGTGAAATTTTCAGCTGAAACTCGTTCATATAAAGATGGAGAGTCAGTAGGACTGGAATAATTTGTGAATTACAAGCAAAAAAGCATACACTTACAAAAGAAATGTTACAACATTTGGCACTTTTATTTCAATGCTACAGAAAAGTTAAGTAAAAAATAAATCAATTGCAGAAGTTTCTCGTCAAACACATCCTTCATTTTAAATTTTTTCCTCAATTAAAATTATTTTAGTTGCTTAGAAATGAAATTTTTCAGATTAAAATCAAAGTTTTGGTAGAACAAAAAGAATCCTAGCTTAATTTGTTTTCACAGATGTTGCAAACAAAAAATAAAAAAAGTCTTGCTGGCCAGTAAGCTCTAGCTGAGAGCTCAGAGGGGAATAAATACAGGAGTCCTCCAGTTTTGTATTAAGTCCATCCTGTCACTTGTAGAATATGTCTGTTGGATCTCCTGCAGCTTCTGCAAGAACAGGCACTCAGGAAAGTGATACTAGGTAAATTCTTCTTCAACGTCTTCTACATATTTCCCTGAAGAAGGGGTGAACACCCCAAGTAATTACAATGCTGCAATAATGACTAAGTTAGGATATAATTATCTGCTGAAAGCTTTTAAATGGATGGAAAGAAAACAATCCCACACTTGCAATTTATATTTTGTTTTCATTTTGTTTCACAAGACAAGCTTATGCATCTTTTATGAACTTCTCAAAAGACTAGAGGGGAAGAACTCAAAATTACATTCCTGATTTAGCCATATTCTTTTTCTTTGTAATAACAGAGTGACAGATGTGAAGGATTAACTAACATTTTTTTTGGCATTCTGTAATTCAGATTGTGATTAAAATGATTAATTATTTCCTCTCAAAATATGGAAATGTGAATTTTAAGTTAGAGGATCTTCTAGTTGATATAAAAAATCCATTATGACAGTTTGGAGTTTAGCTTATGGATATTTGTTAAATTATTGTCATTTAAGTATAGTTCGTTGTTTTACTAGTTCCTGAGGATAAAAGTATTTAACGAAACACTCTTAAAGAGTAAATAAATCCAGTAGGCTAGTTAGATTCTTCTATCCAGGGCTGAGATTCTCCAAATCTACTTGGGGATGCACATGCCCTTCATCAATTGGACCATCATTCTGCAAGGATATGTCCAATCTCAGCAAAGAGAGCATAGTGCAAATGTTTCATGAAGAGACCAAGAACAAGAACTACAGTTAATGGGCCTGAGAGGGCCTGGTTCTCTGCTAGGAGAACCCAGCAGTTGCTTTTTCAAGTGCAGGTTCAAACATGAAATTGTTCTCCTAATGCTCCTCCATTCCTCAGGATGGAGAGAAATTCCTGGTGGAGCCATCTCTGTGAATATACTTTGCAGAAGTAGCTCAATTTCACCTTTTCTGATCAAGGGGAGATTCAGATTAGGGGAAAGGATGCCTCCCTGAATAGCTGTGGGATCCCCAGAAGCACCACTGCTGAACTCACAGCAGTGAATCCTCGCCAGCTGCTGTAGGCTGGTTCAGGACCTTCAGCTCTCACAGCTGCAAGATCAAATGCGGAGACTCCCAGCCCATAGCTGCTGCCTGAGCGGTGAGGCCATGCCCGAACCACTAGGTACCTGTTTTGCTCTGCTTTGCCAATAGACACTGAATTACTAAACAGGAAAAGCTAAAAGAAGTGTATTGGTGCCTAATGGCAAGAGTTTACTAGCCCTTTGGCTGCTATTTTGTTGATACCTTTGAGTTTATTGAAGGCAACTGAACTCTTTTCTCTTTCGGTAACCTCTGCCTAAGTCTTCAGTGAAAAAATTGCTACCAGTTGTACCTCACTGGACACCTTTCCTCAGATTTCTGTTTTGTTAAGATATAACACTTTGTAGTAATTGGTTTAATTTGGTTTGTGTTTTTGTTTTTTTTTGTTTTTTTTTAAGAGCCAGCAAAAGCTCCTGCAGTCAAACCAGCCATCAAAAAAGCAGCAACACCAGGTAAAGGAGTAAAATGTTCATATTCAGTGTATTTCTTGTATTCTTGAACCAGTTTATTGCATCATAGCACCATCTGCTGGATTACACAAACGCCACTGGTTTGAGTTTTTTTGTCTGCTCTAAATTAGTGTGATAATATGTATGTGAAATGTTTTCTAAGAACAAAAACATTTCACATTGATGTCTAATGTTATGGTTGCTTATTGTCCTCCCACGGCAGCTAAGAGGTGCCATATTGGGCCATTCTGCAGATCAAAAAAATGGATCTGAATGTAAAGCTTGATTTTTAAAGCAATGTTTACAGAAATGAATTTCTATATGAATCTGTACTCAAACCCTTCAAAAAGGGGATCTGATTTTTCAAAGTGCTGATCTCACAGTAGATTTTCAAAAATGGAGCTCTTAGACAACCATAAATGTGCATTGAAAAGACAAGCAAAATTTTTTAAACAAAATAATGGCACAAATGCATATCTGAATTTAGATTGGACTGTAAAAATATACTACTTTTATTGATTTCTGATCTCTTCTGCTTCACAACTGTCTTCAAAAATGCCACATCGCATTTCTGCTTAGTTTAATAAAACTCAATATAATGAAAGATAATCTAAATATTCAAGATATTTATAGTTTTACTACTTTTAAAATTAACTAACATAAAAAAATGGGAATTCCCATGTGAAAATGTGATCAATATAAAACCATAATATTATTCTACTCTAAAGTAGAGTGGCTAGTGCTGCAGCAGGCTCCATGCTGCTGAGCTGTGCCTGCTGCTGGCATCGCAGGAGTGGCCAGCCCACTCCCTCTGCGGATCTGGGATGGGTTTCTTTTCTTTTCTTTTTTTTTTCTTCTTTAAGATTGTTTTCTGGCTGTCTTTACTTAATTCAGTGGTCTACCTCAAAGATCTCCTCCATCGAGCAAGGGAATAATAGCTTGCATCAGTAAGGGAGACTGGGAATTGGTCAAGGATCAGTGCAAGCCAGGAATATCTTCAGTTGCCTCTATCACAAAAGGACTTGCAGCCTGGAATTTCAGTTGATATAGGCTATCACAGGGCATATTGTAGAGTTGTACCATGTACTGTGTGAAGTTGGCCTAAGAAGCACCATGTCCCCACCGGTGCTCCCAGTCCCTGCCTGCTGTGTGTTGTTTGACGCCGTGTTCAGTTGCGCTAACACAACTGGGAGAGTAGTGTAAACCACACCATTGCCATGGCTTAGAGCTAAAAACTGTCCTAGAAATGTGTGTGTGTGTGGCAGGGTGTTCAGTCTGGATCATTTCAGTAAGTCTGGCTCCACGAACATCTATATCCGTGTAACTGCTAATTTCTCAAGGCAGCTTTGTTGCCAAAGTGTGTTGTATAGCTAGACCCTTAGATGTCTCAACAGTACACTGCAGAAATCGTTATGTTAGGACCATATGCTTATAATTAATTCATTCCACATGCTTGCATCCAATATTTGTGTTCATTTTTAAAAAATATTCCAATGAGTCTGCTTGTTGGCAAGAATGGTGATGACAGTAATGTGCTTAAGATAAAGAAAAGAGGAAAAACTGGCATGGCTTCTTATGAAAAAATAAAATGAGTTTGTCTGTTCTGACACATTTCTAAATATCTAGTTTGCCTTAAAAGTGATAAAAAGCAGTAGGCTTTGACTTCTACATTTTTGTTTCCCCTCCTCAAATGGCACTGTTCACTGAAAATTAATTTACCCCCAGAATAACTCACCATAGAAAAATATTAAATATGCTTGTTTGGCAACATTGTAAATAGATGGTTGCCTATTAGCACAGTAAATTAAATACATTATCCAATTTCATATTTCAATTTCTTCCACATATCTTATTACATCACAACCTATACCCCAGAATGCCTAAAGCTGAAGGTTTAGTTCTGGTAACAGACCGAACAGACTGAGAGCACAGCTGGTCATTTCCAGTGCTTCAATATCACATATGTTCCTAGTCTTAATGTCACTGGTGAAGAAAACCCTGCCTAATACATTGTGCACTATTTTTATCTCCATATATTTATATGGAGAAAGCAAAGAAAGTGAATGTGGAATTTGGAAGTCTATGAGAGCTTCTGTGTCTGGAAACTGATGGTTGCTCTAGGAAACCAACCTCAATGAATACTGGTTACTTGATTTTCACGGATATTTCCAAATGTAGTGTTTTCTCCAACTGGAAAAAATTACCTCTCTGGCAACTATCTGAAACAGGGTTGGAGAGCACAGTATTTGGCTCTAAAGCAGAATAGTTTCATAGATATGTGCAAGTGATGCTATTCTGAAGGGAAAAAACAGAGTGGAATACATTTCACAACACTAGTCCTCCTCAGTTACACTGTCTTATGATGTCCCCATCCCAAACTCCACTGCCATTTCCTCTTCTTTCACCACATGCATCACTTCCACAGCTGTGCCAGCAGGCCAGGTCTGAGAGTGACCTAGCCTTACAAAATATCTATCTATTGTTATTTCCTGAGGAGGGGTGCAGGTTTCTTTCACAGCATTTCCTCAGGCACTCCGTGTGTGCTGGGCCCCGCATGTTGTCTGGAGGGTCTCTTGGAGCTGGAGATGTAGGTGCTGGGCACGTGCCTCATCCTGCCAGCCTCTGGCAGGACAGGGGCCTGGGAGGGAAACCTCTCCTTCGTCCCCGTCCCTGTGGAGCCTTGCCTGGGAAGACTTCCCACACCTTGTATCGCACCCCGCAGCTATCGCTAACTCTGCTGGGTCACCGGTCCAGGTGTCAGTGGTGGCCACAGACATGTCACCCTTCAGCTCGGTAAGTTTGCTGGGTCTGTTTTGGCACCATGAGGAAAGCAAGCATATGGTGGGGCAGGGCAGGGACCGTTTGCAACCAAATTAGCAGAAGTGTGACCGGATTCCTCAGCAGGCAGCAAGGAGCCTTGGTGCCACTGAGCCCCATACAGTCAGGGATGGGAACAGCTCGTCTGCGAGTCCCTCTCATGAGATAACCTCACGTTATAGACAACACTCCTGCGCCTTCTTTAAGCACCAGTGATAGTGCTTTCCCCTGATGATTTACCTGATTTAAAAATCAGATCTAACTCTTTTCAACACTGTAAAAATTAAATCCTAATTGCAGTTAGAATTTCCCTGGAATGGTCTTGCAATTTTTAATTTAATTTTACAGTGTGTTTAACAGATTTTGTACTGTCACTTAACTGCTTAATTACTGATTTTTAATGCCTAATTTTCCCCATCTTTCTCTCCACACACATGCAAAGAAAATCTTATTCATTACTCCCTTTGGGTTCATAACAGAAACTCTTTCTGAACACAGTTTCCCCCTTGAAAATCAATGAAATTTAGTTTGGACCCAGAGAGAATAAAATGATAGACAAATAGCCAATTTTAAGTGCTCAAGTGTCAGCTGCATCCAGCCTCTCAAACTGACTCTGTCAGTTGTGCTAGAATTATTATTATTTTATTATGTCTCTTATTTTTCCACTGTTGGTAAGAAGCAGAAAGGAAAAAAAAAAAAAAAAAGGACATTATATAGGAAATGAGCTCATGAGATAAGTACAGAATATTAGAATGCAGGCCACACTGGAAAACCTGGTCAGAGGAAGGTCAGTTGAAAAGGTTCAGATCACTCTGCCTAATGCAGGAAGAACAACTGGTTATACTGGCAATCGGCAGTATTTACTTAACAGACAAATGATTTTCATGCTTGGATCAAGGCAAACAACAGAAACTAAAATGGCAGCAGGGAAGAATCTTTGTACTTGCCATATGGTATGACCGGTGCTATTCCACTTAAAAAGGAAGAAACAACACAGAGTTTATTGGGCAGCAAGTATGCTTTGAAATGGAGGAAATGTTTATTAAGGAGCTAGGCTTATTGGTTGTCTTTTAATGACCACCTATAGGATACAAGTACATAGAAAGAATGCTAAAACCACGTCAATGCTACAAAATATTAATAAAATTCAACACGTGTATTGAATAATTTACCAACACAGTGGAACAGGCAAAATTATCATGGATTCTTTTTCAGTTTTCTGAGAGTCAGGTAGCTCTCTCAAGTCACACATCTAGGATGTATTTTAATCACAACACCGCACCTCCTGCATCATCTGTCCACCTACTTATTCTCTTCTTGTGTAGATATATTGCCCAAGAGAAGAGACATCAAAATCCATCAGTGTAAATTGCATGTTACATCCCTCCATGTAAATACTTTCGTAAAGAGGAAAAGGAGAGGAACAGTGTTTCTTTCTTTTTCTCTCTCATCGTACATGGACATGGCCCTAGTAGAGTTTGCCATCCTGCAGTCTCTTCAGGATCTTATGTCTGAGTGCCTCTGTGTGCCCTGAAATTTCTTTTTACAAGCAGCCACTGCCCCTGGTTAGCATCTCTGCATGCATTTGTGTGGTACAGGTGTTACCAAGAAAATTATTCTAGTAGCTGGAATAGTCTGTTCAGGTTTCTAGTCCCTGAAGTTAACCCTCTCAGACTTTTTCACAACGTAAGCACAGCCATTCTTAGGGTTTACTTTCTGGATTTACAGTTTAACTCTTCGGGGACAAATGATACAGGTAATTTATAACATGCATAAGGATAGGCTTTGCAGTTTATTTCCAGACAGAATATATCTTCACTCAGATAGCAGGTGTTTATGCAATAGTAAACAAAATAATGAAACCCTACGTCTATTAATCTTGCCGCTCAGGGTCCTTGGGTTTGGATCCAGCATCATTCTGCAGTCCTTCTGAATCACAGAGGCTTTCTTTTCAGTCCAGATTAGCATAATTCTTCCTCTCTCCCACCTTAATTCTTTGGGAAGTTAAACATCATATCTACTCTGACTTATTCTGTTTCTTTCTGGTTTTAAAGAGAGGTCTGTCTGGTTTTGCACAGTGGGTGGAAATTATCTGATTTCAGTCCCCCAGCAACCTGCAGACGGATAGGAGAAACTGGGTCTTCATCCTCACCTGTTTGTCCCAGAGAGTTTCCACTAGGCTTAGA